TGCAAAAATGCGCTCAGCAGCTATTTTAATGGCGGCAAAAGTCATGGCCGCAGGTGTCAACCAAAAATGTGGCATAATACTTATATAATATTTATATATTGTATAAGTAGGTGTATGTGTTTTTCTACAAAAATAAAAATTGAAAACACATAATAAATATATGCTATATATGTATGTATATAGCGATTAGATGGCGCACTCACGAAGTTTTATTGTAAATTATTGAAAAATTTACAACACACGCCTCATGCAGTAAGCTGGTCATGCATAAAGCATGTGTTTACAGCTATGGAAAATTTATTTAAATTCGTTAAAAATAGTGTACTAATAGGCCAGGAAGGCCAAAGTTTTGGAGAACTACAGTTGTTCGAAAATATATTTCTATGGTTAATTAAAAGACTAGATTGTGCTAATTTGAGGTGAAGGTCTAAAAAGTATATCTGAACACAATTGATCGGCACTAAACAGGATAAAAAAGACAAAGACATGGCAAGGACGAAATAAAATTTAAGTAGTCATGTAAACAGTGAAGGAGGTGAGGTTACGAAAATTTGTCTCGTGCGAAGCGTCCATCCAACTCTGTTAATAACTACAACATTAAAAAAGTTAAAGAAACAGTGCAGGCATCAGAGAAATATCAGAGGATCTCAACAACTCTTATCGATCGACTCAACACATTTCGGTTATTGTTTTGGGTATAAAGGTGTCAATATTAGACTTATACTAAAGACCTGAATCTTTAGCAAAAACTACATCGAGTAGATTTGAAAATGAGATGCTAAACATAGTAGTTTAGGACCTTACACTAATCAAACGAATCATTACTGTTGAGAAATAGGGGTTTATGAATATAACGTCGAAACTGTTCAATAATCTAGCGAATGGCGCTCCAAAAATTAGCCGAAACCTAACACTCAGAAATCGCTGAAGACACTGAAAGCCATCTCAGCCGAGGGTTATAACAAGTGTATGCAAAACTAGAGGTATAAAAATTGGAGCGTTTGCATTTGGGCTCTTAAAATTATTCGTGTAATCTGTGAACCGGTTATTCGAATATCCGGTTTGTAACCGTTCGCATGAATATTAACCGAATAATACTTTACGAATAGTCGTAACATTGCCATTCAAATAGTTTTGAACGGTTAACAGGATAGTCGAAATTGAGCGGTTAATTGAATAGTCGACGACTTTCGACTATCCAGATACTGCAAGCCGAATATTATTATTGAAATAATGTCCTGTCCTGAACTAAAATAATAGTTAACTCATTGGTTTTAGAAGTAGTGTTTAACATTAAACATTAATCTTAGCGATAAACTCGAGCTTAAGAATGAACTCAGCATATTAGTAGCGAAATCGTTAAATAACCAAGGAGTTTTTTAGCAATGCAGAGTTTAATGTTAAACACTTTAATTTATCAGAAAACTCGAGTTTATGAAACATATAAATTCGACATAAATCGCTAATTGTCCATTTTTTTCATTTTTTAAAGTACAACCATTCTTAGTTAGTGGCGTTTAACCTTACACGCTAAAATTTGCTAAACTCGAGTTTATGAAAAAACTAGTTAATAACATAATTGCTAATTGGTTAAACGGATTTTTAATTTTTTTTAGTAAACTTTTAGTTAATGAATAAGATTGAACCTGAAACACTAAAATTGTTTATAAACTCGAGTAAATGAAAAACTTTTAATGTGCCATAGATCACTAATTTTCGTTAATGAAATTTTTCTTGTAACAAATCCGTATTCAAAATCTCAAATGGATCTAGGGAAGATAATTAAATCGAATTAAATAAGAAAACGAACAAGAAGTGTAGAAATAACATGTTAGTTTCTTATATACCAATGTTATTGAACAGCTGATCTGTATTGCGAGTAAAGTTGCAACTCGTAACTGACAAGAAAGTTTTCTCGACCTTAAAACTTTTTGTATTTTCTCAGCTTTTCTTAAACTTGCTGAAGTCAAATAGTCAAAGGTATAACTTTGGGCTAGTTTTACTCATATTTAATAATTTATAGTGTAAAGTAAGGAACTAGACTCTCAATTTAGTTACAGATAGAATTGCAACGGTCTAAGAAAACCAAGACAACTTTTTAATATTTTTCAAAATCTTAAAGATCCTTGTGGGAATTTGCAGATTATCTGTAAAATTATTAACTTCATCTACGCCTAATTTATAATGTTATCCATAGAACACTATAAAAATATTTATAATATTTATATATACTAACGAAATTTATTTTCTTCAATTTCTTTCGTTACAAAACTGCTATCACCCTACGACGTCAACCCACAAACCCACCGAAACAACTCAACTTTCTCTTCGCTTATATTAATTGCCAATTATTGACATTGAAACAATCTGCGGGAAATACACACACGAACACAACAATGAATACAATAATAACAATAACAACAAATTAATAATGGTGTCGACAATCGCTGCATGGTGCCAAACACAATAACAATAAAAACAACACTTCTGAAAACCAACGTTTAACGACGCAAACAAACGCAATAATAACAATTATGCTGGCAATGATGATGCTGTCGCTGATGGTGATTTCACCGACGGCGTGATGATTTTATGGATGGCTTGATGTGGTGGACAATGACAACGATGGCGATGATAATTGCGATGTGAAACTCTCGTGGGGTTGGAAATGCAAAAAAATGTTGTTGGGGTAACGTGTAAAAAAAATATTTTAAATTAAAAAAACAAAATAATTAAATATCTTAATGTATTAAAAATGTTTACTAAATTTGAAACAACTCTCATAAATAATTCAACAACAACATTTTAACTGAAAAAATATATAACAAAAACAAAAATACTTGTTTTTAATACATAAATATGACACTTTGAAATCCTCGAAAAATATGACTAAAAAATTAAATTAAATTGTACAATTGTACAAAATTTAAAAAATTTTAAATAAATTAAATCAATGAAAATATAAATAATAAAAAAATATAAATGAAAATTTTTAAAACAAAAAAATTCTAAACATTAAAATAAATAAATAATTTATAATGTTAAAAAATGTAAAAATAATATAAAAAACCCACTCTCAAATAATAAAATGTTTATAACATTCAAATAATGGAATAAATTTAAACCACCAATTTTTTGTTTATTTTTACCAACAAATAAAAACATTATTTCGTTTAAATTATCAAAAACTATACATTAAAATTATATTCAAATTGAATTTTAATGTAAATTGAAAACTATAATATACACAAAAAATAAACAATTTTAAATTAAAAAATTAAATAAATAAAATCAATAAAATTATATAAATATAAAAATTTTTAAATATAATAAATACTAACAAATATTGATTATTAAAAAATAAAAATAATTATTAATATTATAAAATATTCAAAAATTTAACATATATAAAATTTTCGCTTTCAAATATAATTAATATTAAAATTTGTAAATAAAATATAAAAAAATTAAAATTGTTTTTTTTTGTTAATACATAACCATTGAACTTTTAATAAAAAATCGAAAAATATATCTTAAAAATTAAATGAAAAAATATACTATAATTTAAAAAAATTTAAAAAAAATTTAAAAAAATCTTAAAATAAATTTAATTAACAACTTTAAATATACACAATAAATTACAAATAAATAATTTAAAATATAAAAACAAAAATTTAAAACTAAATTATATATAAATAATTTTAAATCATTAAAAAAATTTTATCACATATAATTTCACTCTCAAATAATAAAATTTTAATAACATTAAAACATTGAAATCAAAAATTAACACAAATAAAAAAATGTTATTAACAACTTTAAATCAATCTAAAATTAAACAATAATAAATATTTTAATTAATGATGTTAAATAAAAAACATTAAATACTATTACAATTTGCTTGATACAAAATAAAATAATAATAATTTGCTTAATACAAAAATCTTTTTTGTTTTTATTTTGCGTCTAAAAAATCGTAATTCATTATAAATATATTCTAACAACCAAAATTATTTCAATCAAAAATTCAATTCACATCGAAAAAAATCATGAATTTACCCACAACAAACCAAAATGACCGCTATTCATATATTCTCTACAAACGTACCAACACCAACAACAACACAATATCACGCTGTAAAAAACACTAACAACACACACTTTTTGCATTGTATACATTTGATGTCATGCCACCATCAACATTTCAACATTTACTGATGACTATCAACTAACAATCGCCAAAAAATAATCTGTGTTGGTCAACATGCAATAACAACATTACCCACCGCAACTAAATAATTTCGGTACGCTCGAAAAAATAACAATCAATGTGTGAAAAATAACCAAACAAAAATAAATAAAAATAAAAAAAATGTATAAAAAAATTTTGCAAAAAAATAATAAAAAAATGTTATAAACTATGAAAAAAATTGGAAAAACGACAAAAAATACCCACAACTGCGTTGACTGCGCCACAAAATATGCAACAAAATGTTGAAAACGTTGAAACAAATAATATGATTCCCTTGCCTTGTGCCAACAATACACACACACATTGAAATGAAACCAAAAATTTACTTAACTGTTACAAAATTACCAATGGTGCAAAAAAATATTTTTTTTTTTAAATTTTTTCATGCGCTTCGTTTTTTCTGCATACTCGGAACATATATTTAAAAAAAATATTTAAAAAAATGTGCTACAAACGTGAAACACCTGCCGCGTCATCTCTAACAATACATGCAACGAAACTATCAAACCAACAACAAACCAAATCTAACGCTCGTATGCTAACTGCAATCATCGTACATACCGTTATTCGGAACTCCAACTGCACTTCCATGCATCCAACACTTATCTGCTCATCATCTCCGGCTTCCTTGTCTCGCTGCACTTGCTTTTCAATGTTTCCTCTTTTTTTTTTTTGACTCCGCCACCCTTCGCTTGGTGTATCGGCTTCGTGTGCTATTCTATCGCTCATTCGCGCACCTCTTATACAGTCCCGCCGGATATCCTCGATTATCCCACTAGCACGGATATGGTTGTGCGCGAGGATAGTAATGTGACGCTCAAATGTGCAGCAACGGGCTCACCAGAGCCGACAATTACATGGCGACGTGAAAATGGAGTACCCATTGAATTGGCCAACGGCTCTGAGGGTAAGTACCACCCAACTCACATGCTTCAATATACAATACATACAAGTATATAACTACTTGGTTAAAACTGTACGCTGCATAGGTATATGTGTGTAATTTGCTGGGCAGTAGGGGTGAATGACTGTATGACTGAGTGGGTGAGCTTTTTTTGAGTTGAAATATTGCAAGGTTCATGTGGTTTCAATTGCCCACGTGTAGACGAATGCAGTAAAGTTTACTACGAAATGTAAGAAGGGTGTGCCATTTAGGCTAGTGGATTTTATAAAGTTTTCGACAATTGGAGAAAGACAATTTCTCTAAAACAATATTTTAATTATGACTTGGATTTAATCTATTTTTCTTCCTACCTTTCTGGACCATATCATGTCCAGAAAAAAACCCGGGTAACTTCGGTAACATGGTCTTACTGGTCTATATCACGCCTTGAGCTCACTGAATTAAAATCGGCAAATCATACAAGAGACAACGAAAAAATTAGTGAAATAAAATAAAATATTTATTTGAATTTGGTCAAAGCATTTTCTTTCTCTAATAATGTCTGCATTCTGCTACTCAATGTTCTAAGACTATGGTGGCTGAACTTGAGTAATTGCTCAGGGTTTTCACACTGACCGCCTCCTTAAACAGTCTTAAAAAGGAAAGTCTACCGGGATTGTAAACTTCCCTTGGAGCAAATTCACTTAGTCACCACGTTAGTCATTTATGAGGTACGTATATATAGTGCTGAGAGTTTTGAGTAAACGAAAAAGTTAAAGTTAAAACGTTTACAATTAATAGAAAAATATTAGCCAAAACTATCTATCTATCTTGGAGCTGATATAATAAAGGATGATTTTAGATATGTGGTTTTCACTGAGGGGAAACTTTTTATGAAGTTAGTTTATTTGATAAGTTTTACTTGATTAAACTCAGTTTGGCTTTCCATTTTTTAATGAAAATACTGAGTGACCCTCAAACGCGTCGCAGATGGCCACCAGTCCCAATTTTGTTCAGCGATGAGGCTCACTTTTGGTTGAATTGGTACTTTAGCAAACAAAATTATCCCATTTGGAGTGCTGATAATCCACAAGCCATTGTTAAGACGTCGTTACATCCACCAAAAGTCTCTGTTTGGAGTGCTCTACAAGCATATCGGCCATAATGTTACAGTCAGTATAAAAGAAAGCTATAAAATACATAAAAGTATCCGCTACTATTTTTGGTCGATTCTTAGTCCAAAGAGTGTCTTAAAGTTGGTATTCTGCAAGAATTCACCACGTTTGTGGAATGTCTTTACGGTAGAATGAAATCACCAGGTTTTAGTAGGAAGGGTCAAATAGTCTATGTATGAAGCCGAGCTCACAGTTCACAGCTGAAAATAAATCTAAGTTTCATCCAGTTACGTATACCTAACTGCTGTGAGCACAGGACATGGAGTGATTATTTAATACTCTTGACGTGAAAATGTCATAATTTTCAACACGTAGCTTTCTCTTCGGTTAATTTAGAAACCTCATCTACGGTCTTCTAGTAAGCAGGTTAGATTTAGATTATGTTTATGCAAGGTTTAAGTTAGCTTAGATTAGGCTTAGGTTCTTTTATATGGCTGACTCCAAGAAGGCATCGCACTTGGAGTGATTATAGTCAGTTCTTTGTGAAGCCAGAAAAAAACTCCACTTATTATATTTTAGGTGTCGACAAAGCGCTGAATGTCTAAAGGTGTGGGATGCAAGGTGTTTTAGCCTTGCTCTCGCAAATACGGGAAAATCTATAAGAAAGTGTTAAGCTGCTACGACCTCGCTTTAACCTCTACAATTAGCACCGTTAGCACTACGAGATGCTTCAGAAATTTAAAGTTCCTACTTTGACCAGTTTAGCTCCATTTATAGCTAGAAATATATACCGTTGCTCTGAAAAGTAACCACGTTTCTACACCTCTCCAAACACCCATTACCACTGTTGGCATATTATCAAAAGAACCACAGTTGTACTAGCATTTGGCGCCGCATAGCTGAGCACTTTTCCACTACCATACTCGTATACGGCAAAGCGCAACATGCTCGCCCCAAACAACTACCACAACTACTACTACGAGAAGTACAATCAAAAAGCGTGGAACTTTTTTGTTTCTGACCATTACCCGAGTAGCTAACGTTATTGGCATTTGGCAGCGAACTTTTGTAGTGTAAAGGAGTAAAAACAGGAAAAAGAAGACCAAAGCAAAGCGATTGAGGTGAATATGGCCGCAGGCCCACAATGTAGAAGCTTCTGAGTCATACACAGTGCGCCAGAAACGGAACCGCAACACGTAATGCTGTAAATCGAATGTGAAAAATTCAGCAGAATACTTAAGTATTACGGGAGTAAAGTGCAATAGACGATGGCAGCTAACGGTGATGGCGATGGCGATGGCATTGGCGACGGCAAAGTGGCTAACAGTCGCTCGTAAGCAGCAGAAAGTGAGTGTATGGTACGGCGACTACATAGTGGTTCGATCGGCGGTGTACTCAACACATACCATACATACAGTGTCGAATAGAAAACTGGTTTTTATTGCTGATGCATGGTGGTGTATTTTGTATGTAATGTTTCCAAACGGAAGTGACCCTCGCGGCTTAAAATGTCTGCAAAACTGTTTAGTCGGACGAGTAACTGTTGTTATTATTATTATTGTTTTGTTTTTCGTTTTTGTTTGGTATTTTTTGTGCCAACTTTTTAAATTTAATGTACATATATTTGAGTTATTTTATTATTAGTACTTCTTGCAACTATATCGATATTACACTCTTGTTGTTATGGTGTTCTGGCTTACGCGATTGAGTTTAAAATTGGTGTTACAGAAAGTTTTTAACAATTTGGAATTTTGATTGAAGAGGCGGTGTGTTGCAATGATTGGCACAGGGACGACGTCATTAAAAGTAAAATCAAACTTTTAGTGTTTCTATGCAAATATGTTTGTGATTGAACTTGCCAGCAATTACAGAAAATTATATGGGTTTAGTTGAAATTTTAGTGTTTTGCAACTTTGTTAAGCGAAAGTATGATGAAAGCGAAATATAAATTTTCATCCTTTTATTTATATAAAATTAACTTCCGAATTAAATTTCAGTATAAACAAGGTTTCAGCTACCTTGATGACTACTGAGCTATAATAGTAAATATATAATTTCAACCTGTCATTTAATGTGCAAAAATTATGCCTGAAATTGATTCGGTGCGACAGCCTTTGCTTTTATGGGATAGCTACATATGTATACACAATCTTCTTATCTGATCTTCCATCCACCCAGATAAAACATTTATTAGCCATTCTTGATTTATTCTAGCCTTATATTAGTTTTATAGTACCTAGTATCTCTACTATTATATAAGATCGATATTAATACATAATTTGTAATAAATTTAAATTATTAGCATAGTATTAATAATCCCTATTAAGTAAATTTTGAAAGGTTAATTTTTATCATAGACAATCATTGTTCGATAACTGAATAATTTCCAAATGCCACTTCAGAGTTTAATAAATTTTACCAACAAACAGCCTAGCCAGTGGAATCATGTGTAACTTTCTTAACCAGACTATAAGGTGGTTGCATAAGACCAAATAGACGCTGTATAGACAGTGCAGTGAAAAAAGTCATTGAGAGTACCTTATACAGAGAACACATAAATACTATCACATCTTCAGTTTGCTCGTTTTCGTCTGTATCTGAAAACAAAGCATGGCATGTTTTCTCGTTGTATCCATCTTTACGCTGCATACAACATGGATAGATTTCAAAACCATATTGAAAAATATGATTTCCTTTTACTAGAACTTTCATTTAGTGTACTCACATACAATGGTTTACACTGTTCTCATTAGGTTATAACTAAAGAGACCATAGCCACAACCAACACAGATTTTAAGGGGTAATGCTTGTGATCACAGCTGTAAATGTCGTTATAGGGGGAAATCACTCGTCAGATTATTTGTTACTTCAGCTTACAGCTGAATATGATCAATGATTGGTTCTTATCATAACTAAAAGTAAGAAAGAAGTTGGGAAAATGATGCGTTAAGTCATTGGAGATGAATATTAGAACACCTTTATATAGAGGGTAAACCAGAGTTTGTGATCATCAATATGTAAGGTTCATTTAATTTTTGTTAGCTATTGATCTCGGCGACTGAATCAAGAAATTCGCACCAGAAACCAAATACCAAAGATGGCAGATGTTTGCATACTTAGGCGTATTTTCGCCTATCACAGCGAAACAAATCAATGAAGAGCAGGTGATTCAAAGTATTATTTGTACAATTTATTTTGGCAACAAAATATAAAATAATAATATTAAAAATAGATTATTCAATATTTAATGTCTTTAATAAACAAAAATATAATTTAATAAAATAACTTATTCAACATTCGAGTCAAAATTAGCATTAATATTTTAAATGCACCCACCTTGGAACAGTACCTGTTGAACTGAAACAATACTGAAAAAGGATCAAGCGGATTATCATGGTAATAAATTTTCACCCCTGGCTGGGATTTCAACATCAACTCTGCTGATAAAAAAAAACGGTTCACAACTTTTTCGAAAAAATTTAATTTTAAATTTATATATTATTCACACTTATATCAAAATATTGAACATTGACGCAGTGTTTCCATATTTAAGGATATAAGTCTCATAATAATGTTATCTTATTTGTTTCATAAACTAGTTTCAATGTTAAAACTCCTGAACAACTTATATTGTAAGATAATATAAATATTATTATAAACCATATTAACTGGTTTATTCATAAAGAAAAAATTTTCTTATCTACCACGCTCAAAAGTGTAACTTGAATTAATATCAAAAAAAATATGCATAAAAATAAATAAATAATATAACTGCATAAATTGATAAAAATGCTATGCAAAGCTTTATCGCGGCAGTCCCGAGTGACACACACTATTTTCGGAATGTTATGATTCATATGTTCCACTCAAAACTTGATTTTATATCACAACTTTCTAATATTTAGATTTTCCAGTTATATATAAAATTGGCTGGAAAACAATAATAAATCGATATATTTAAATAGTTTGTAGTAATTCTACTTTTAATTTAGTCAAACCTATTAGATTTGAATTTAAACCTGAAAATCAACAAAGGCTTGCAGCTTAAATCTTTTCATAATACGGCAGATACTCAAATTAGAAACCTCTTTTGGTGCACATATATATAGAGAGAGTAAACTGTGTCAAAAAAGTGGTTTATCATAACGATCTTATCAAAATATAAATCTCGAGCAAAATGTGTTTAAAGTTTGTCTGCCGGGCCAACGATATAGTTGCCACAAATAAAACACTTAAGCTTTTAAATAATAAACTTGTAAAATCTTTCTAGTCTTATATTTTTGAATTCTAAACTATCGAATATTATTTTTCTATTTCTAGACTGAAATACCTATCATTCCAAGTTGATGTGTCTAAAGAGTTCTGACAAAAATTTGACGGAAGTTACACTATTTAGTTTTATATGCACCAAGCTAATATCAAAACTTTTAGACTATACATCGAAATTTCCTTCAATAGCTGTTAAAGAAGTAACTGAATTTTTCATGGCGTCGTTGCTATGAACACCAAGTACCCGTGTAGGAGTTTGTCAGACATAGCATGTAAAGAGCTATTTATAGATCTAGATCTCTCGCTCTGCGACTAAACAAGAAAATTTTAAAATGAAAACTATCTTCGATCTGCTCGTTGTCTTAGCGTACTGATCTCGCCATAAACAAATTATGTACATATAAAAGCCATCAATTTGAATTCCCAAGAGTAGTGGATACACCTTTAAACTAGTGAAGCCATTTCAAAGCGATTGTATTTTTGTTTTAGAGACATTATGCCATTTTACCATTGTAAATACTCAATGACAATGACAAATATTAGAATATAAAAATCTTTTTTTTAACTAAGAACTTAAGACTTGAAATTATTATAGTTATTTGAAACCAACAGGTTATTGAAATTTTTTGTCGAGAAGAATTCTTCATCTAAAAAGATATCAACCAATATCATGAATTGTCGAGTAAACACGATATTAGGCTGAAAACCGATATTCTTTAAAGTTTTTTTGCTATGATCAGATAAAATTTTATCTCTGCATCCAACGGTTTGAGATAATTTAGGTTTTAGATAAATTTTTATGAATTTATTACTCAATGAAAAATCATTTTAAATTGCTAAACTCATAGTTTGTAGCAAACTTACTGCACAACAATTTTATTTATTTAATTTAATATTGTTTAAATTGTTTCATTGATTTTGATGACATCCGTGAACGCTCAACCTAATCAAAATACGAGGGACTATTTTGTAGAGCAGTAATAGCAGCTATAATCCCTTAAAAGCGCATAAACCTTACACTAAATAATACACACAATAAATAATTTATGAATCTTTATATTATAAATTTTAGTTCTATAAAATAAAAACAATTCTCTTTGAATATCTTAAAAATAAAACATAAAAATTGTAAGTCCATTAATTAAAAGAAAATGTTGCATTGCGCTTGAGACATTGCAACTAATCCATAAAAATTTAAACACAAATGTAAAATATTGTGAAACATATTCCATAATACTGATCAAATTTGCATACGAATTTGTCTCATCCAAGGCACTCATACATTTATCGCAAAGCATTGCAAAGTGCGATGGCTTTAGATGCAATAAAACTAGAAAAGTCTAATACAATAACAAATAGAGTTATAGTATGCTAAATATCTACGTATACATATATACCAGTATGCTGCATGTATGTTTATATGTATATGTTAACCATGTATATATGTATGAAGCTAGCTTTACGGTGGCAGCTTGTTAGCAATCATAATCCACTCATTGCAGCCATTCAAATGGTTTCAGTGGTTGTGTTTGTATTTGTCGAGTACGTGGTATGCCTGCACATGCATTTATTCATTAAACTATGCCAATTTTATAGCCATTATGCACTTGTTGTTAAGTTTGTTCTTTCGTTCCTCCCCTATACGGGCATTGTAGAGAAAATAATATTTTCCAAATTCATTTGACAACAACCAACTCATAGCTATTAAGTGGGTCCCAACTATACCATATATTATTTGTTTTGTAAAGGTTTACTTGTATGTAATAGACTTAATGTCGTTTAGGTGCCCGTTTTATTGTCAGCTGGAGAAATTGCATAAAAGCTTAAAAGCTAACACAGAAAAGGTCGATTTCAGCATGCGAGTTTTATGGCAACTGAACAGCTGACAATATCAACCTCATTAAACAATTAGGTTGCTTTTGTTATTTAAATAGCTAAACATTTTCATTTTATTGAGGAGCATGTAGTTCTGGTAATTTGTCTTTTATTAACATTAATTTTATAAAGAGAGGATATATATAACACGTATTCATGAAATGAAATCCTGTTTAAAGTGAAACCTAATTTCCAGAGGTTAGAAGCTATTTGCTCCAGACTGAATACCAAGCAATCCGATAGATGGCACTGTCGCCGTTATTCCAGGAATATGAAGTTTCTGATCGGATCTTCTAGTTCTTACCGTGATGCTATATTACTCTGAATATATATGTATATATATTTGTCTTTTGTTCATACATACTTACCCCATTCTGATTTCAAGAAAACCGATTTTGCTTATATATAAATTATATATGTATAGTTAGAGAATATTCCTGAAAATTTGAAGTTGACCAGCAAATAGTTTCGGAGTTAGAACATTATTAAGCATTTTTATTTAGTGTAATTGACTCTCAAAGTTTTAACATGTTTTCTGAAACGACGTTTTAGAGCCGTTGAGGAAATACTTTGAAAGTTCCAACATGTCAGAGAATATATATACAAATGATCAGCATGACGCGCTAAGTTTGATCAAGCCATTTCCGTCTGTCTATATAGTAACCAGTAAACTAGTCTCTCAGTTTATGAGAAATCGATTTGACATTTTTCACGTTTTGCTCTACAAGAAGCTGTTTATTTGCGGACACAATATCGGACCACTGTAGCATATATAACTGTCATACAAACCAAACGATCGGAATGAAGTGTTTGCATGGAAACTTTTAATTTGACAAGATATCTTTAAGAAAGTTTACAGCTTATTATCTAAAGCAATGAAACTCCGAACAAATTGTTTAGAACTGACCGATCGAAATCAAGTTATTGTAAAAACTTTGTATTTGTGAAGGTATTATAGCTTCGGTGCAACTGAAGAAGTTTTTCTTATTTATTTGGATTTGAATATTTAATTTAAGTTATAAGTGTTTCTCCGCCAGAAAACTTTGTTGATCGGCTACGGGATCAAGGGAATCCCAAATTTTCAAAAGATTTGCTGGTTATTTAGCTCTCCTTTAATAGTAGAAAGCTCATATACATCTAGCAAGGAATTGAATATAACATATATGCTTAATTTTATAATATATAAATATTTCAAAAGTTTTGTTAAAAGAACGTGATAATAAATATCAACCGAGAATGTTTAATATGACGAAATTTTTCACATGCGCATTTTGCAAATAATCACTACAAATATATTCAAATATAGTAATTAATGATTATTTTGAAACAATTTTGTTATTATAGAAATGCTTTCTTTTTTATTTCAGTGTTGAGCGTTGAGGTGTAACTTTGATTTTGCCCGAGTGAAACGTCAACATATGGGTGCATACTTATGCATAGCATCGAACGGTGTGCCGCCATCGGTGAGCAAACGCATAACATTTATAGTGCATTGTAAGTATTATTTACTGAATATGTATATATATATATATACATACTATATATGTTTATTGTTTGTTTACTATTGATAAACACAAAGAAGAAACACTGCGATGAGTGATCTTTAGTATATGTGAGTATATGAAAATCGTCAAATATAGGAATTGTTTTCAAAATTAAGTGTGCTTAAGCTAAACAGACAAAATCTATGTTTAAGAAATTTAAATAACAATGTGTAGGAAGTTATGTTGCTTGCTTGGTGTAGAACGAAATTGTCTAAAAGGAAACTATGAAAATGTCTCAAACGATTTATTATGAATTAATATATCAATATTAAAGAAATATATGATACTATTGAATGTTTTGTTTAAATTAAAATTTTAATTAGATTACCGAAGTAGATTGATGTTGATGAGATGGAGAACTATGGAGAATTGCTTTTTAATTAAATAAATTAAAATGTAAATAAGAATAATTTGTTGATGAGTTTGTCTACGTAGAGTAGCTTAGATCATAAGTGAAGCATATATGGCTCATTCTCACAAAATATCTGAATTAAGCAATTTGATAAATATTTTGAATTTATTTTCAGTTTTTGTATCAATATATTTTCTACTTGTCCGCTATAATGACTAGCGTATACAAGCTAATGTCTACAAAAATTTGATGAGCTCAAAGGTCTTAAATTTTGCTGCAAATACACTACTTTAAAAGGGTGTCGAGTAAGATTTCGAGAAAATTTAATTTATATTAAAAATCCAATCCTATTCTTTAAACTATAATTTTTGCATAAAACTAAATAAATAAAAGAGAATTTTACTATTTAATAATGTTTCTCTTCAAATGAAGAAATTGAGAGAAATGAGAGAATGATTTTAGAGTAATTCCTAGAATTTAGTATATTTTATTTATCATACAAATTAATTTGTTTAATTTATACTAGTACAGATATAATATAACATCTAGTACATTATAACAAAAATACATTACGCAATTCTGGTTTGTAAAATCATTAAGGACATCTTCTGTTTTTATTACAGCGTATACATATATAACTTTCCATAAAATTCGAATCAATTATTTTGAAATCTGTATTTACTTTCCACCAAATAACATATCTAAAATATTATGAAGCCTGATTTATTGGAAAACAAAATCTGTAAGCTTTGATTAAATAAAATAATAACTATTATTGTTTTTAATATCTGCAATAATTAACAATAATTACAATTTTACTTAATATAAATTCAAGTTATCGCTGTTATAGAAATATATTTATATTTGAAGCTATTTCAAAAGTCACTTAAACGCACAGATGTGCAGAGTCGCTTTATATTAATATACAACAAATAAATAGCAACACTACTATTTGATAAATAAGAAATAAGTAATAAAAATTTAAATTATTTTGAAGATTAAAAGCAGTTTAGTGTCATAAAAATAAATTATGCTCTATCGTTATTTTATTCTGTAAATATATTTACTTTAAATCATAAGTGATCTTTGTTATTGAAGGTTAGATAAACTATTCAAGACTCTAAGGTTCTCATGTGAAAGCTTTTAACTATATTACTCTTCGAATGGAAGAATAGAAATTAATCGTATTTTTGCATATTTAATATTACAAGTTAGTATTAAAATAAATGTTCAACCAAAGAAGAAAGAGTACATATTCAAACAGCTTTTATATTATAAAATGAATAGTAATGTGTTATAGTTCACGTTATATATTTAAATTTTACTTTATAATCATTAAATATTAGATTATAATATTTTATAAAATTTTCAGTCCCCCAATGATAAAGTGCAAAATCAGCTCATCGGTGCAGTGGAAAACAAATGTAACTTGAATGACTAGCTATATCCTAAGTTAATTAATTACTGGACGAGACGAAGACATATAGCCACCAGGTAGTAGTTTAAAATACAAATTCAAAAAGGCTAAAATAATGAATACTTGCTTTAGCGAGAGATAGAACAACTATATTTTTAGTATTTAAACACAAACTGATAACATGATTGTGTGGTTTTATGAAACCACGTTGAATGTAAAACTTTAGATTGTACATATGCCATTGACAATTTTGGAAAATTTCTGATTAAAGTTGTTAAAGCGTTTTAACAGGAAATGAACAGTATACAAGTTTCTAACTATAATTTTATTTAATTAAATTATTAAAACAACAAAAATTATAGAAGAATCTTTTTAATTAAAAGCAAGCGGATCAACAACAAAGCAATAAAATCTAAACAATTGAGTTGAAAGAAATATCAGTATTCATATTTATAGCATGTTGTTGAAGCAACAAAAAGAAAGCTGTTATGATAGACGATATACAATATATAGGGGAAACAGAGCATAGATAAAATTTCACTATAATAAATTTATTTAGGTGATTAAAAACTTATTTGAATAACTTATATTCAATTTTTTCTAAAATTTTTAATTAAGTTAATGAAATAATTAAATTAAAATAATTGAAATAACAAATTATTTTTCAAGAAACTTTATAAAAACTTAATCACTTTAATTTCATTAATTACCAATAAAATCTACTTTTAATTTATTTTCAAATTTCAACTTCTTCCTAATAGCTACAATATTATGCTGTTACATATTTTACAATATAATATGTTTTTCTTTATATTATATATATTACATATTTAAAAGAGCGTATGTGATTAGACAAAGCAAACACTAAGCTGTAATGCGACATGCGCATCACATACATCTAGACAAAAATTTACGATAGATAATAAATACAATAATTTAATGAAAAAAGTTAAAATTAATTTTCTACCTTTATGAACAAAAGAAGTTTTATGGTAATTTAATATTTACTAATTAAATTAATTAAAATTTCAAAAATTCCTTCACATAAATCATACATGACAAGTTTTCATTAATAACTTAATTGTCAATAAAATTATTAAAACACTTTTAATAATTTAAAATACAACTCGGCCTAACTATACACAATATATCTGTTTTATTCCACAACATTTTGAAATAAGATATGATTTTTTTTGAAACCCTTTTGAAATGAAAATTTTGTTTTGCCAATTAATTAGCCAAACTCAGTTACTAACTTAATTAATAACATAAATGCAGCATGCGCATATACATACGCTCAACGATTTCACAAAATATGTGCCAGCAATGATTTAACTAATTAAAATCAGCGAAATGTTGCGAAAAGTTCATGCATAACTAGCCAGAAATGTCCACACGTTGACACCTCAACAAAACATGCAGAACACGCACACATAAGTATACATATATACAATACCATACACATCAGTGATCTATGTAACGAATAATTAAAATTGTTGACAAAAATAGTTGCACATGAATCACCAGGCAACCGTACCTTAACAAAACCTCAGAAGGTCAGATCTTCATAAATGTGCAATGCATACATACAAGTATGTATTGGTAGTTGTTTTCAACAAAAACTAGCAGATTTATTTCGTGCTGAAAGCCGCAACAGAAAATTAATTAAATAGCAAGCGACAACGGAGTGAAATTTTGTCTGCTGGGAGAAAATGTATCTAGAATGGAGATCGAGTGATAAGTTATTTTTACGAAGAATAACTTATCTGCGCTATAACACTGTATTGTCACTAAAAGTAGCTTTATCTACATTTTTATACTTTCACCTAATCATTCTGTGTAATACCAAAACAGATGAATTAAAAGCATTTGAGAAAGTTTTATAAATGCTGCGCGTAATTATATACAGAATTTTCCAAGAGATGATAAATAAAACACAGACTAATTGCAACGGAAATTCAAATGTTTTTTATGTAGTGTGAAGTAAAATCGATACAATTAAGTTCTGAATATAAGATGATACAAATATCCTGCACGACTTCTTTTGAAGGAAATGAATTCGATGAAACCAATTTTCGAGTACCTTTTCCGCTAAATTAAGTCGTATATCATGAATAGCAGGTTCAATATTAACTTATTTTCAAGCTTGAAGAAAGTCTGGTTTATTGCTAAAGATCGGTCATTTTAAATAACCTCATAAGAAGTAGTCTAATGCTGTTAAATCATAACCTCTTGGATGTCATTCAATGTCACAATTTCTTGAAAATATCGAAACTCCAAACTTTTCTCGCAATAATTCGCTTGTTGCACGTAGCACCGTTATGTTGGAACCAGATGTTTTCAAAATTAACTTCCTCCAATTGCTTTCATAAAAATTTGGTTACTATCGATCTGTACTACTCTCCATTGACAGCTATGGTGTCACCAGCTTAATTTCGAAAGAAGTATGGAGGAATGACTGCACCAGACCAAAAACCACACCAAAATGCCAATTTAGGTGCATGTAACGGTTGTTCATAAATAAATTGTGGATTGTTTTTATACTTGAATCCACAGTTTTGTTTATTTACCGCACCACTTAGATGAAAGTTAGCCTCATCGAATAAGATGATTTTCTTAAAAAAATCGTTATCGTTTTCAAGTTGTTCCAAGACAAAATCAGCATATTCACGACGTTTATGGTGGTCCAATGGCTTCAGTTCTTGAGTGAGAACAAGTTTATACTGATACAAATGCAAGCCCAAATCCTCTCTCAAAATCCGCCAGGTTGTGGTTTGAGACAGTCCCAATTTTTGAGAACGTCTTGGAATCGACAAATTGCGGTCTTAAGCAACATTTGCCTCAACGACTGCAATTTTTTCATTACTTCGAGCGGTTCTTTGTCTTATTGGCACTTGAACATTTTTCATAACATATACGCTCGAAATTTTGAACCATTCAATGAATAGCTAGCTCAGAAGGACAATTATTACGAACATAAAATGGCAGAAGCGTATGAAAATTTCTAATTGGAGAACGATTATTTTGATAATAAAATGGAATAAGTTGTAAACGTTGATCTTGCGTATATCTTTCCATGATGAAATTGTTAACATTACAGCATACAATGAACAAAATTTCTAGATCATGACATATAAAAAATGACCGAAAAAATTTCAATAATTTTGACTTGCAAAGCGACTTTATAGGTAGATACGCTTCGCATCCAATACTTAAAATATCAATAATAATTCCAATAAACTTAAGTTCCACAAATGAAATTTTCTCTATTAAGCAGTATCTTAAAATTTTATTTTCAACACGATTCGAAGCTTAAAATTTTAAAAATTATATTTTCTAATTGAAGTGTTGTCACAAACACTACTTGACCGTAGACCAAAAAGTGTATTGTATCATTCCAGCATGAGCATCAACCTAACTTTTTAATTAACTGATTTAACCGAAAACTTTTTCGTGACACACAAAAGCACACAAACCGTAATACAGCAAAATAGCCACACTAGAGTTTATGAAACTCTCTTACGCTGGCTGCACTTCAGTGGCTGCACTAATGCTCCCGCTGCGCATAAACACATACCAACAAATAGGTATGTTTATAATTGTGTGTATGTGGGTGATACATATTTCACTGGTCTACGTTTTTGCATAATCACTGCAACGGTTGTTTTATGCTTTTTCTCTGGATTTCTGTGGTTACTTTGGTTGCCGCAAAAAAGGGCTGTACACTTATATTTATTTTCATACAAGTATGAGAATGCTGGCACATAATTGCATACATTTAGGGGCATATACAAAGTAATGTGTGAAGTTACTTGTAAAAAGTAGTTAACTTTATTTTGCAAAATTTTCATGACTCTTTATTTGTATCTTAATGGGTAGCACTTGCTGATGCATAAAGAGTCTCAAATGCAAATTATGACTTATATTTAATTATACAAAGTTAAGGCACAATATTTTTAACCACTTTAGTATAACTAAATTTCAAAGCTATCGATATCCGATTTAAACAATATGTTTGGAGCTTATCGAGCTATTTCTGACAATAATTTATGCCAAGTTTCATTCAGATATCTAACCAAATCGAAAAGTTTTGATTTCGATTGATTAACTTGTTTGGCAGCTATATGCTATAGTGGCCCGATCAGAATAATATGCTCGGAGATTATGGCATTTTCTTGGACAATAACTCATATCAAGTTTTGTGAAGACATCTGGCCAAATAAAAAAGTTGTTAATATAAGGTTTTGATTTTGGTACCGAACAGTTTTTATGGCAGCTTTATACTATAGGGATCCAATCCAAATAATACACTCGCCGAATTTCGTGCAGTTATCTTGTCATATAAAAATTTTTTTCATAAAAGAACTTGATTTTAATCGTTAAGTTTGTATGGCAGCTATATGCTTTAGTGGTCTGATATCAAAGGATAATTCCGACAAATAAGCTGCTCCTTGGAGAAAAAAGGACGTGTGCAAAATTGCAAATTGATACCGCAAAAAATGAGAGAATAGAACGCGTATACACAGATAGACGAACAGGCAAACGAACAAGGCTAAATCGACTCAGTTCGTCACGCTGATCATTAAGATGTATATTTATAGTGTCTCCGACATTTCCTTCGAGGTGTTACAAACTTCATGGCAGACTCAATATATCCTGCTAATAGTATAAAAATATAAATCGAGTTTGGTCATTTTTCTGTAAACATTTGTGTATACTTGGCCATGGCCAGTCAAAATATGAACCAAAAGGTTTAACATGTTTGGCTTTATATATGTGTACGAAAAAGCGTAAGAGCAAGCGAGCGAAATGTGTTCGAAAAAGCTCTATGCTCTGTTTAAATGCTAATAATTTAATTAGCATTTTTGTAGCGACTTTTAATTGGTGCTAATGTCCTTACATGCAAATGTGAGCAGACTTAGACACATAAGCTGTGGAAAAGCTGCGTACATATGTATAAAAGAGAGCAGATATTAGCATATTAAATACAGTTAGGGTATATTATGTGTATGTATATATGATTTTAAACTTCTACTACGAAGCGCCAGCCTTTAATAGTACTAACACATGCTAGAGCTCAGTGCGCATACATGCGAAGAAAGTGTATAAATATCTAATACTAATTTTGAGCTTTTATTTTTACTTTTTTCGTAAATCTCACTTTTGTTAAAAATAAAAATCTACTAAAATAATTTATTTGATTTTGTTCACAACTAACACCTAATTTGAATTTTTACCCTTTCCATTGCAGGTGTCAAATATACATCCGGTGTAACGGAAATTGGCGAATACCGCAATTCAATGCAATTGCATATTAGTGACTTGACGCAAGCAGAATTTGGAGCTTATCGTTGTGTGGCGAAAAATTCTCTGGGCGATACCGATGGCACCATAAAGTTATATCGTAAGTTAATAAACGTTCTTAGTTAGCATTGTTAGCATGTAGAGAGCTTAAATTATGAATTTTGACTATCATAAATGTGTGTTTCAGTTTTTGAGGAAATATCGAAAAATTCACTTCTTTAAAAACAAAGACATACCGAACTTTGGTAACGAAATTAAACATAAAGAGAAGTTTAAAAATTATTATTATTATATTTTTACTTTTTATAATAATTATAGCTAAATCAAAAAATTTAATTATAGCAGATTTTAGTTGCATACGTGAATAAGACTGCAAGAAGCCTAGATTAAAATCATACTTAAAGTCATATATACAAACTTTATATATCTTATACTGTGTGGTCCAAAACCTTATAATAAACTTCCATATCACTCCTTAACCGACTCTAAAAGTCTACCATATTTTCCGTTATCTCATCTGCGACTTATAGGTCTTTTGTGTAAATACCGTGCCATATTCATGAACAAACCACATCACACTAAAAGAACTTTAATTGCAAATAGTGAATGGCGGAAAAAATGTGTGGGCAATTGGGGTAAGATGGAGTTAACCACACCACTTCCTAAGATGAATTTTAATTTTAAAAAACTCGTTACCCAAATTCTCTTCTTCGTTTAGAATGTTTTAAATAAATTGCCGAATTGAGCTTTTCAACTACCCCTGAAATGAAAATTACACGAGTTTTTATTTTGTAGTCAGCAACTCGCTCAATACTAGATTTCAATAGATATAATTCTGAATAGATATAGATAGACCTATTATAGCAATCTTCGAATTTTTTAATACCATTGACTTTTGAGCTTTTGCTTTAAAATAAGACTCAGTCTAGGCGATTGTTTGATTGCGAATATTCTGAGACCAGAAAAAAGTAATCGAGGGTCAGATTCAATAAGTACTGTCTACAAAAGCAATTCAAAACCCACTTCACGCAATTTGAAATTAAATTTTTTAACTTGAGATATATATATATCTATATATTTTGATTAACTGCCTTTTCTGGTCTTCCTACAATTCTTTTGAAGTTTATACGGCCGTAACATCTCCTGATGGACTTTCTATTGCTCTTGTGAACGATTGCTACGTCCAATGCAGATACTGTTATTATTCTTCAAGGGGTTATATACAGTTAGAAGGCCGAAAAAAAGTCAATATTCCAGAAGTTTTATTGAGAAAACTTCTAAATTTATTGATCCAAAATTTAAACACATATGTGTACATGGCATCTTTTAACTGTATTTTAAGACTTAGTACTAGTAAATATACTTATTTTGAAATGGGCTAAAAGACGTTTTGCTGTGACTATATTTCTGAACTGGATCATCTCAAAATAAAAAACCAAACAGATTTCGTTAAAGTAATGTTAAATCTAGTAATTACTCGAAGGAATAGGTGAAAGAAAATTTTGTGACAAAATGGCGGTTTCTCAAAAAAAAAATCGATTTTTCACCGAATTTTCGGCCTTAAATTGTTTAAAAATATATTTAAGAAGCTCGTGTTAAAATTTGAGACTAATCGGTGACGCCGTTTTCGAGTAATAATGATCACCGACTTCAGAGAAAAACGCGTTTAAAGTTTGGAATGCACTTTACCGCTCCGGTCTTGTACTTCCAAGCACTCTGAAATGCCTTTTCAAATTTCCGTGTAACTTCGAAAATATTCACCGAACCAATTAAGAAAACAAAACATAAAAAAAAGTTGATTTTTTGAAAATTCTAACTCTATGTAACCCCTCAAAGCCCTGAAATTTACATACATGTTTTTTGAAGACTATGTCTAAGTTTATATAAAGTCTATTGAAAAGAAATTGTTTTGGCAGCCTTCTTCCTATTGGCAAAAAACGGGGACAGTTGCTTTTTGCAACATTTTCTTGAAGCCAGTTTTTCACCAAAAAAATCATTCGCCATAGACAAGACATGTGACATTGATCACGGTCCAATTGTTGACGGCATAGTTGCAAATTAAGTGTTTGGTCGCAGGGAAGCAACTTACAGTAGATGAATCCCCGCCAATCCCACCAAGCACATAACAAAACCTTCCTGATCGTCCATCCCAGCATGGCCAGCTTTTGCGCCGCTTACCGCGGTTCGACCACGACCATTCTCGATTCGTGTTGTCATAAATGAGCCACTTGTCGTCACCAGTAACCAACCGCTTCCCAAATGGATTGGATTTGTTGCGATTCAGTAGCGATTCGCAGATGGTAATTCGGTCCATGAAGTTTTTTGCTTTAACACGTGCGGCACTCATACACCGAGCTTCTTCCTGTATCCAGCCTTATTTAAATGGTTTGAAACTGCATATTTCTTGTGCTATGACTAGCGTCTAATCTACACGGTCGGACTCAACGATTTCCACTATTTTATCGATATTTTCGCCAAGGCATTTCTTTTTACCAGTACTTGAATCTATATATATATAATTTCAATCCTAGTCGTATAACTATAGTATAGATGGATTAAATTTTATAGCTAAATTACCAGAGTCTCTAAAACAAAAGAAGCATTTAAACTTTCACAACTATTCAAATGTTTAAAGTAATTTGAAATGAATTATAAAACAAAAATACACATTTGCATTCAAGATCAAATCAGCTTAAAAATAATCCGCGGCACTGCGGCAATGAATGCGACCCCTAAACCGAATAGCGCGGCCAACTTAGCGCATTCGCAAGCTCGCATTTCTTTTAGTGAATTAACTATGGCAGAAATATTTAACCGCTTCGCCGGCGTCGACTCGGTCGTACGCAGACACCTGCGCTTGGACGTAATTGAATTTAAATATTTTCAACCACCACTGCGCGCATTCACGTTAGAGGAGTGGGGAGTGCATTGTATTTTAATGAACTTCATTCATACACATTTCGCGCTCTAGAATGCGACCAAAGAATGCTGACGTAATTTTTTGCGAAATTTTTAATTTTTAACATTTTTTTTTACGCTTTTCATTTGCATAATTTGAATGATTTGTTGTAGGAGTTAGCGTTCAACTGCCGTGATTTTTTTCGACTAATCCATAAAAATTCTTTCCATTCTTCGCAATTATTTTCGCAGGAATACCACCGACTGCTGTGAATTATGTGGAGAACTCCGAAGGACGTTACAAAGGTGAGTGTCAGCGCTGACCAGCGGCTGTCAATAGTGAGTGCTTTATATGCCTTCTGTATATGTGTGTGGGTGTGTGTACATATCGACATATATGTGTGTTTGTTAGTGCGGTAAGAATATGCAAATACAAATCGGCGCACTTCAATGTCTATTCCGCATTGTAGACGCCATTCAACGCTGACGCCGAGGCAAGCAGTAATAGCCACTCGGCATAATTTTTTAAAACTTTTTTCTTCGCATATTTCTTTATGAATATGTATGTGGCTTAAGCACCATAACTAAAGTTTGGTGCACTCTCACAGCTGAAGCGGTGGCAATGCCTGTACGTGCAGACTAGACGCCCCTTACATTTCGGTCGGCTTTTGTGACATTGTGCACGTGCTGTACAAGAGAATATATGTATATATATATGTGTGTGTAAGAGAAAAAAAATATTCGTTGCCTTAAAAAGTGCGAAGCAAATAAATTATTTATTTTCGGCTTCAAACAAATCCTCAGGCGGGCAAATTTAATCGCCACCAGGCAGGCGTGTAGTGCAAACAACGACAGAGCTCTCAGTTTTGAGTAAATATCGTAAGCGCAAGGTGAAA